GTGCGAAGACGAGTAGAACGCGGTGAAAGAGAAAGGTCTGTATGGGAAAGGATGTATAGCAGAACGAGCGGCGGTCGACGTCTCTTCACCGTTCACGGCGCATCAGCATTCTGACCTTTTGTCGTTACGAAACGCTTAAGTACGCCATGTTAATCCTTACGCCGGTATCGATACCGATTCCGTCCACATCGCTCGATTTATCTTTGCGAAATCGAGATTCTTCTCCGTGCCAATTTACTCGCAATTACTCGAATTTGATGTTTCGAGAGCCACGAGCTCTACTAGAATTCCAATTTCATCGCGATGGTTAACGATGAGTCAACGCGATCGACGTACCATTAACAGCGAGTAAACCATTTTCAACTACCTTCTTTTTTCGCTCTTTTCAGCGGCAGATTTTTTACCGATTATATTGTTACGGTGAAATTTTGTTACGTAGGTCGATTCGTTCACCTTCTCGTCCATAGTCCTTGCAATGTACACATTTATCGTACTCAAGGTTTATGTTCCTCTTCTTCCTATTACGTTCGGAAATTCAATCACTCGTTTCCGTTTCGATACGCTAAACGAATGTTCATCTTTACGCTTATTCGTTTAGTAAGTTATTCTCCTTACTCGCGTATTAAATAAATTAAATTAAATAAATTATTCGCTTGTTCGAAAATTTGCGAATCATAGAGGCGCGGCCTTCAACGGGCCATGAAATTAACAAGTAGTTTAAAGAGGCGGCTAACGACCCGGAAAACTCATCGTTCCAGCTCCCCTACCTACCGGAATTTTCTACTTCTTACGAACGGTTACGGCGTTTTAACGCAAAAACGACTAAACCTACTGAATCAACGAGTCTCAAACTTTTCACGCACACCGTATCGGTATCGATAAAAATTTTGCAAATTTTCCAATAGGAGAATATCCTCTTTCTGTATCGCTAACTTCAAGATTTGATGTTACCTTATAGAGGGATCTAGTAGAACCTATAGAAAATTGACGAAGGAAGTTTTCACGGCTCCAGCGTCGGATAAGCGTATCGTAAGATCGTATCGAGTACACGTCAGTGCGATTATGGTAGCTTAACGCGAGCCTTTGTGGCCGTGCGTGGACGTGCAAAACGAGCTGTTCGAGCACACGCAACGTGGCTGTCGTGGAAGTCAGATGTTAATAGAAAACAATCAGTGGCCGCACGTGCACCGACGTGTATCGATGCACTCGAATAGCTAGACTGCAATTTTATGCAATGACAGAGATAAGACTCGCTTTCAGCTTTAAACGTTGTTTATCCATTGGAAAAATTACATATCTCTTTAACTTTCCACGCTTTCCTTCCATTTCTACCCTTCCAAATATTCTTTCGGTTTTTCTATCGACTTTTCAGAAGGTAAAGAATATCGTTCAAAGATTCGTAATTAAGATATAAAGAGACACGCTGCGGCACCGGTCACTACGAATTTCTGACACGAACTTTCGTTCTTCGACGTTGCTAAACTTTTCTTTTTAGCAGGTAATCCTCGGTAACACGCTTTCGTTTCAACATCCGCGGTTATCGATTCTTCTTCGAACGCGAATGTAAGTACTTTTACCATTCGCTTGTTTCCTAATTACTTCGCGATCAGTTTCCGTGGCAGCGTTAACTACAACTTAATCCATTACCCTGGATAACGACGAACATAACGTGCAATTACGATTTCGCGAACTTTTAAACGTTCAACTGCCGTCGAAACGAAGGTACGGCTATCGTATATACACGTACGTTCCAGATGAAAATATCCTAATACGTATTCTCGATAAATTTTGATAAATTTTGATAAATTTGGATAAAACGTTCGTATAGGCAAGCCCTCGATCTTCGAGAATCGTTGATAAGAAAGAAGGAGTAACGCGATTCTCGAGCAGAGAGCACGAGAGCGATTTGTGCGAATAACAGGCGCGAAACGTTTCAAGGCTTCTCTCTTCTCTGGCCACGTATGCCCGCTTAACGATCTTAAATGGCTCGGTACCGGCTTTTCATATAGGGTGATACGATTATCTCGTTAGGACGAGCCGAACCGACACGACGCGGTGTCGACGGCTCGCGAATACAAGTGTCACGGTCGATGCTCGAGATACGAGATTGTGAAATTTTTGCGAATCGAATCGTTTTTCTTCGCGGTGATTCTTTTTAGACGGTATTTACCCGTAAACCGTGTCCTTGCGTTTCTTCGGCTTACTTGCCAGTTACCTTCGTCAGGGGACTTTTATAACGTATCTCGCGAAACGAATAATTTTCGTGTCGCGATTATCGGCCATTATTCTTTTCCAAGCGAGTAATTATAGAGATGCACTAATCGTTAGCTTCGAGCAATACTTTCATCGGTACGTTCGATTACAGGTTCGACGCTAGCGTTTGATTCGCATTCGTCGCGCGGTCAAGGTATCGTGTTCGTGTCGTGCATCGTTGATCACCGAACGACCGTTTAATCGATCGATCGATGAAAATTAGGAAAGCCGAACAGTTAAAGCGCCGTTTATTTCGAAGGGTCTGCAACGTATTCCCTTGCCTTTGATCGCGGTCCGTGAACCGTGATACGAGATGGGCCATCCCGACCGTGTACGCGCGCGCTCCGTTAGAAATTGCTTCACTTTCGTTTCCAGTCGAGCCTCTGTCCCTCGACTACTTCGATCCGATTCGGAATCGCTTGCAACACGAGAGAAGACTTTCCCAACTACGAGCGTTACCACGACCGTTTTTCGCCGGATCTGCTTGTCTTCCTACGATTATTTCGCCGATTCATTCTGTTAACCCTTCTCGCATCGTTAGCGAGCAATTAAAGCGGAATTCTTCTCGACTTTTTCCGCGATTCGATATTACGCGTTCAAAGAGAGCTCGTAATCGGTGGAAAGTTTGTAAAAATTCATGGTTCAGAAGCCGAACCGTGCACACGATTTTCATTAACCTACTTGTTTCCGGTAGGCCTCGATCGAGCATCCTGCCGATCCGGCAGACCTCGATCGAGCTTTTACTTCGATTCCGAAGAAGCTACTTTACGCGACCGGAGAAAAATTTCAAAAGGAAAAAGACAAACGCGTTAAGGAATTCGGAACTACGTTGCGGAACGCTTGGATAAATTGCAACGTAATCGCGTAATTATCTATTGTTCCTGAAAATCTGCTCACAATGGAAACTTTATGCCTCTCTCTTTGTTCGTAGCGTTGCTCAAAATCTACCTCGATCTAATTAATCTCACCTTCGATCGCGTTAAGCGAACATATTGCACCGAAAAGGGAGGTTCGCGTAATCGCCAGACCGGGATCAGATTTTCGAGTTCGATCAGGGTGTCGGATAAGAATTTCCTCGCGATTCGTGCAATCGACGAGCATGTTTCCAAATCGTTTCGAGTTGCATCGAGATTCGAGATAGGAACAAGTTGCGAGCAATTAATAGAAAATTCTGGCGAACGTTAAGTATTTCTTATTCGGTTCCGAGAGCGAGGACTCGTTTCTCGAAAACGGCTTTCGCGGATCCTTTGGAACAGCGTTGCACGACGTTGCACCAGAGAAAGAAGGTTCGCTTTCCGGGCTAGCTCGATTGGCAGAATGAATCTCTCTTTCTGTCGTTAAATAACAGCAGTTTAACTTGATTGGTGCACCCTCGTCCTCTTTTCGAGTCATTATTTATAGAGAGGAACGTGTACTGCGACTCGCGATCGCGCGCACGCTCGCGCGCACACACACCTTTTCTTATTCGTTCCTTTCCTAAATTTTCTACAAACTTTTCTACGTTCAAGAAAATTCGATATCAAATTAACTTCAACGCGGTAATTCGACTTAACCTATTGTACGCTTCGATCTACTCGATCTTAACCGAAGTCTCTTCGAGTGGCATGGGTCGTCGTGACCTCAACGTACAGCGTCTGCTCTACATGTATAACGAGCGTTTCGTGCAACAGCTGCTGTAGCTGCTCACTTTTTTCGCACTCTCTTTCGCCCTCTTTTTATATCATCGATATCGAGCCAAAGTTTCGAGCAGCCTTTTCCTTCCCTTCTTCAGTTAAGATAGCCATAAACAGAAATATAATTTGCGGAATTAATTAATTAATTAAAACATCGACGAAACAGCGTTTCGTAAAAACTGATGGTTCCTATTAATGCCCCCGTTGTTTCAGCTTCCCAGACGATCCTAATCTCTTTCGCTATTCAATGGATCGTTACATGCCTCATAATTCTCCGGTGAATCGATCATTCTCGGAACACTTTCGATCCCAGACGTCTGCCGCGTTGTGCCGCGTTGTTCTATGCATCGTAAAACCGATCTCTTTCGGTAACTTTCGAAACAGGAAGCGTCTTCTTGCGAACGTCCACGAGAGTATTAAGAAAAATTCATATTCCGCTCGTTATTCGGTTTGTTTCCTTCGAACGCGGCCTACCAACAAAGCCGATTGCAATTTCGTTTGTTTAAAGACGGATTCGTTGAAACGCGATGGGAATTTTAAGACGGTTATTCAAATTTTGTTCTTGACGCTTGACTCGAAGAGTTCATAATTTTCTACATAACGGGATAATTATACAAAAATATGTAATATTTATGCAGGTGGGATCGGCCGTGATTCGTTTAAGAGTGTCAACTCATTGATCAAGTTTTTTTTTACGCAACTCGTACGAACCATACATCAGAGAGTTTAAGAGAGCTAAGATGTATTCGGTACAGTTACGAGGTCAATTATATCGTAATTGGAACGTAGTCGAAGTTTATGAAGAAGAAATTTACTGTATCAGTCTAATAACATCGTTCCATTATATTCGTGTCAATATCGCTTTCCACTCTAATCGCGTGAAATTTCGAAAACGAATTTGCAACGGGCATCGGTATCGCGCCGAGACGGTCAGAAGAGTTCGAATTGGAAGATTTTCCTAGTGGAATCCAAATGACTCACCGTGTATATTCCCATCTGTTTCCAGTGTCCACGGGGTCCCATGGGTATCCCCTTCCCTCCCGCAAAGGGCCACGTAAGTCGACCAATCGTTCTCTCCGTCGGTGTTCCCCACCGTCGGCGTCGTGGTCGTTCCCGCTCGTCGACCCTCGATCGTCGAGAGCGTCGAGCGTTCAACAGTATCGAAAGACTTGGTCCGGCAGCCGGCGTCTAGCGGCAGTTACTCGCGAGACGTTCACCGTCTACCACGCGTTGCACCTTCCTTTCCGTTTACGGCCACCGCGGACTTCTCTTATCACTTTTTTCTTTTCTCCGCGATATCGAGCAGTTTTCTTTTCTATCGAGAATTTTTCGCTGATTTTGTGCCGTCGAAACTTCTCTTTTCCTTCCTCGAGGGGGAAATTTTCACGGAGACTCGAGAGACAAGCAGGGAGGAAATTTGAAAAAGGAAACACACGGTGCGGTGATCGAACGGTTCGAAGATTCCTAATTGTTATTGTAGAATTTGTGCTATTATTCGTGCAGATTTGTCCTTTTTAGCGAACGTACGTTTCGCTAACAGTGAACTCGAATAGTTGAACGTACCGTCGCAGTAGCGCATACGGAGATTTGCTCGGTGAACAGTCATGATCATTCTCGAGTATGCGATCGAAGCAACGAATCGTTGAGGATTCTTTAACGAGCAGAGATAGCGCCTCGAGTACCGGACGTTACGGAACGAGCGAAGAATTTCGTCGATTCGAAGGAGAGACTCGAAAAAATCGACGAGGTCGTTTCGAAGGCAACTCCCGGCTACCTGGCACGGATAATCCAGAGAAGAAAGTTCGTTTCGAAGTTGCTGCATCCGGTTCGAAGAGCACGGTTGCCCACCTTTCGTGCTCCGCGCCTCCGAACGAATCCATCCTTTTTATCTCGAATTTGGTTTAATTCGCCGGACAAATTCGAACGGAATGTCGGTGTATCGACGATTCGCTAGGTTTCCATCGGAGTACAAGAAGCCATGAAACGAAAGGTGGACGAGCGAAGATTTGTAGAGAGGATTGAATGGAGCCGATTGGAAAAGGTTTAGATCGTCCTACCAGTTGGACGAGTGGTCTCTTCGTGTTTCTCGTGAGTGCGGAATTATTTTCTCTTCTTTGTTATTTAGAGAATTATTAGAAAATTCATAATACGGAATCGTATTACGAGTTCCAGCTAATGGACTTTCGTAAACAGAATTTCCGTTAACGCGTTAACCGTTAACAGGTTATTAGTCGGTATTTATAGAATGTTAATTAGCCTAAGCGGCGTTTAATTTTCTATTGCTTCAAACTTCCGGGACATTTACTTCGGGTGATCGTCTATTTTGCCATTTCGAGCGTATCTAATTATCGGAAAGCAGGTTCTTTCAGAATCCGTTGACCTTGCAACTGCTTTTTACGCCAATACGCAAATTCAGTCTGACCGAGTATGATTCATTCGGTATCCAAGAAAATTATTATTAAGTTAGAACGTTGCTTTCGATTTCTCTCGACAGAGTCCCAATCTGTTCACCTTTGTCCGAACGTATTTACTCTTTTTGTAAAAGTATCCCAGGGATATACGATACAGTTATCCAGAATAGAACTATGGGTTTCTTTTCTGTTGTTATTCTTCGACGACGTTGATCGGTTTTCCCTAACCGAGAGTTTTACTTCGCGTTCTATGCCCGAGGAATTCTCGTTTTGGTCCGCGGTTCGCCGGAAGTGCTTCGCTTCTCAGCAAATTGAGCTTATTCGCTGCGAAACAGACACTCATTAATTTAACATTGAAATTCTATCTCGTTAATTAACATCAGCGAACTCGCATCCGACGGCCGTTCCGTCGGAAAGAAAAACCTGCATTTTCGTTCGAGGCGTAGCAGCTACAGGAATAGCCAAAATGTCGTAGATTCGCGTTAAATCGAAGCAAAACGTTTTCATTATGATTTATGGAACGTGCAACATACCGAGAATTTTTCACGACATTTTCACGGACTAATCGGTAACCTAATTTGTTCGTTACACGATGCATAAAATTAGAACGAGCGTGGATCTAATTTCGCATGAAACATAACTAGGTGAAAATCGTAACGTCGCGAAAAGCACAAGGAGATTTACGTAATTACAATGCGATCGAGACTTCTCGATGTCGATCGTTTCACGGTTCATAGCAATTGTCCCCAGAAAACTACCGTTAAAGCGATCGTGACCTCGATCGAGTCTCCATAGATTCTGTATAGATCCGGGTTGATCGTCTGTGTGCACACGGTGTCTCGGCCAACTCGCATACCGTGAAAATCACAATTTCCTCCTATCGAAATCCTCCTATAGAAAAGTCCTCTCGCTTTTCGAATTAGTCCATGTTTCCTATTTAACGATTTATCGAGGAAATCGTAAAACGGCGTTTTAACGCTATCACGCAACACGGATATCATCTGTAGCGTATTATAATATAACGCGTAAACGAGACAACGCGATCTGTGCCACGAACGTTCCTGGACTTTAATCTTAAGTTGTACTATTCCGAATTTTTCACGGTAAATCTCGACTCGAACCAACTCGCTCGTGCGATCTCGATAACGGTCTTCCGAACGGCCATCGAGCCACGATCGCGGACAAAGTCGGTCGACTGCGCTGCATGCGGCCCGTTTAAACTCTCGTTCGCGTCGAGACGAGACGAGTCGAGTCGCGCGGTTAACCCGGTCGCTTACCTCTTTATCCCTATAAATATTGCGGCGAATCGTTGCGTGGGTGCGATCCTTTTACTCTCGACGCTTATCGACGCCCCTTATTTTGGCCCGCGAAACCGTACGAGTTCGTTATACATAGATTATACACATCGGGTAGCTGATTCCCGATGATTCATCGTCGACTACGAAGCGTATTTTCCTTTTTCTTTTACTATCCTATACAAGGCATCTAATGCATTTTCTCCGCCTGGCATCGTGTACTCGAATAGATCTTCTCGTCGTTCGAGACTTTGAAAATTCGAAGGGAATCGAATCGAAGTACGAGCTTCTTCGAGACACGCGCCAGACCGCGGAAAGTAAAAGGAATCGAAGACGCTCGTAAGCACGAAGCAGCGGCTCGTTTCGTATTCGTCTCGTAGTCGTTCGACGACAGTCAGTCCACGTATCGTTAATAATCACTGCGTGGATGCGTATCGAACGTATCGAACGCATCGAACGGAAGGAACGCGAGCGGCTACACGCGATTAGCTAGCGCGTAATAGACGTGCAATTAGAGCAGTCACACGCGAATACTTAGCTGGTGCGCGACGAATGTCGAAACGGGGCCGTTGTTCCCTTCCACAGGAAGCAAATGGCACTTTAAATTACCGACTGCACGCACGTCATCGTCCTCGTCTCTCGTTCTCTCTCTGTAGCCCCGCGGGGATAACTGAACGGTTATCCTACGCTTAGAACGCGAGTACCGTTCGCCGTTTTTATTCCTCGCGATCCACCAAATTACTCGTTCACCTTAATCGCGTAACACTGGCGTTATGTAATTTGTCAAACCTCTCCGACCACCGGTTATTGCTCTATTTCCTTCGAAACGGTATAGGACAATTATAGGAACCGGCTCAGCTTCTCGAACGGTCTCGAAGTACTCTGTTCGTCGTTGAAGACGGTCGTTTCGTCGCACCTTCTTCTACCGAATTTCCTAGGGAAAATCAATTACGCGTTCGACGCGTATCTCGTCTTCGACGATGCGTCGTTGGATACAATGTACTCGGTGTTATCTATAAATACTGTGCCGATGAGCCTTTCACCGGTCATCGACGAAGATCGACGTCGAATCAAGATATAATTAACATAGCGATATTCACCGTTAACAGCATTGAAAACGAAGCTCGCGGATGTCCGAAGGACATCGCGTACAGTACTTTCCATAAATATCGGATGCCTGTATCGTGATGCAAAAACCGGTATAGTCGAAAATCCATTCACATGATTGAAATTCTTCGTCGAGTAGGTAGAAATGTTTTTCTTCGTGCGCGAGTCTCGTGTTTCGAATAAAATACCGTAATACTAAATACCAAACGGAATATAAATTTTCTTGAAAATGAACGGAGCTTGCCGCGCGGACTCTTCGATTTTCCACGGAATTTCTTCGAAAAACATCCGTCTTTACCGACCAGACAGCGAAAGAGCGATCAATCATACGCTACTGGAAATCTCTACGGTTCGATACCAAAAGAGAGTTTCGAAGCTTTCACTGCTTGATTTATCGCGGTTAATACTGTTGCGGGATGCGCTATTTAATACGCACAGATTCAGTTGGCAACGACGCGACTGTGCGAAGAACGTCAGTTTGAAAAATTAAAGCAACGGACCATCTTCGCGCCTCGTAAGCCGATTCGCATGCAAATTCATATGTCGTTACGCGTTACAATGCGAGTACAGTTACGCATCTGGCGGCTCTGTATCGCGTACGAAGTTGTCGAAGAATCCGTCGAAACAGATGAGGCGCGTCTCGCCGTGGGAATCTAGCCGGCAACATTTATTACGGGGTCCCGAAGGTTTACTCTCGCGTGCAACCAGAGTCCCTTGGACCGCGTCGAACGATCGCACGGAATGCTGCCAATAAGCGTGTAAACGAGGCCGAAATTAATTGCGAGCGACGAGACGTCGGGACGATCTTTTTCGAAATTTCGGAGATATCGGTCGATATCGCGAAGGCGGGACACGCGCCAGAGATTCCCCCCATTAACGAACGGAACGAAGTTTGACATAACCGGCACTGTGTCGTACACGTAACGTCGGTTTGCAGGAGCACTGAAAACACGGAACTTTCGGTGTTGAAAGAATTCAGGCATGCGTGACACGTACGTGTGTGGCTGCATACGATCGCGGACGATACATCGCGAAATGGTATCTCGCTCTCGAATCGCGAAGATCGCCGAGAAGGATCCCTTACCCGAGTGAAATCGTCTCGCTCTTTCCTCCTCTTTTCCGTCTTCTCTACCGTGGCCGCCACAATTAGGGTTAATTAGTACGCGTAAGCGAGAAATCGCAATTGGAGCAGACATCATCAGTCGCTCTCTCCTCTCGCGACTTTCCATAATACCCCATCCTCCGCGAGACATTCTCGAGAAAAGTGCTCGATTTAAATCGCGACCATTTTCTTTTCTCTGTTTTCGAGCAGAAAACGCTGCTTACCAACAGCGTCGTATGGAGCTTGAGACAGAAATCGAACGTTCGTCGAATGAAAATTCCGTTATTATCGGTCCGTCGGTAAATCGCGTGTGGCCGTTGATCTCGTAAACGAGGCACGATATCGTTACCTGGTTTGGCATGTTTCCTGTATCGAACAATTCCTCCCATAGGTCGATCGATTCTCGTCGCGCCAAACTATTCCTCGCAGAAACGTTATTTAACGTAACGCCAGGGAAATATTAATCGGTCGTTGGATCGAAGAGGAAAAACGGTTATGGCGTCGGGAGCAACAGGTACTGGTGAAGGACGAGCACGAAGAAGGACGTCCTTTGTAAAAGACGTAACGATTTTTCCACGGTGAACCACGTGGAACGCGCGTAATTAACGCGCTCTCGTCCAACGCGCATAATTCATCTCATTTGTTAACGAGCTACTATTCCCACCATACCCTTTTTTATTCTCTGATTCGAGATTATTATTATTATTATTAGATACGCGAAAGCTACGATTGCTCGTTGTTAAATAGAATTCTCTCCTATATTATAAAAATCTCGATTTTTACGAGACGAATATATGAACTTCTACGAGTTACGTATCGAACGCGGTACGAAATATCTGCAAAGAGATCAGGTTATTCAAGGTTATCCATACTCGGTCGATAACGAATCGAAAAGAGAACTATGCAAGTTTCAAGATCGATTAGCCGGTCTCCAGTTCCTAGATAAACGATCCATTTTCTTGCATCGTTGCTCCTCGCGATACACTTCCCGCCAATTTTACGCTCGTAAAATTCGTCATAATTCATCGTTGAACGCGTTAATTGCAAGGGAAACGAGCTACCGATCATAGATTTATACAGTCGATCGTGCATAAACCTCGCATCGTAACCGCGACCCTGAATTTCTCTCTTTTTCTCTCTCTCCGGTTAGTCACTTTGACGATAATCGGTTCGAAACGGCGCGATTTCGAGTACCTTCGAGAGCTTGAAATTTCGCAATCGTCGAAGCCATGGAAACGATCGCGAAAGCGAACGTTCGATATCGAGTTAATAATTGATAGAACAACGTATTCGTTTCCTATTATTATGTCAACTTTCGTACAAGGTTAAGGTTGCTAAGCGTATTCGAGCCGACCGCTATCTTAGCCGCAACGTATACGCTTCGAGATCCAAAGATACGCGTCGGTCGACCAAAATCTGAATACTTTTAAGGCGAAACTTGTGGGGCAAGGTATCGAGACGCTAGAGGAAAGAGCAGCGAACGCAGGGGCGCGAGCGATGGCCAGGCAGGGCGAGGTGCAAAAGGTGAAAAACGGTTTACCATCAGCATAACCGGTTCCGCGTATCCCCGAAGTGCGCGCGCGCGTCTCACTGTTTCTCCGGGTCTGGCGTGGCCGGTTGCAACCATTCGTACTCCCATCGATGTTGCTTCTCTTCGGATCATAATCGATCTCCTGCATCGCTACCGTTGCCAGTATTCCTCCGTATACGGTTAAGCTCGTTCCATCGATCGACGCGAATCGTCGCGAATAAAATAACTGTGTTCGGTGAGATCGCGTCGAACGTAGTCGGTGCCAAGTCTCGCTCGTGCTACGTTGAAAATTTTCATTTTAGCGCGATCTTCGAACGTACATACATACGTGCTCGATGCAGAGCTTCGCGGTGTACTCGCCAATAATTTGTTGCGCGTTCGTAGTTTATGCCACGGTTCATGAACGATCGATGAAAATCGCCGCGCTATACTCGCGGTTTATGCCACTGCCGCGGAAACGATGGATCTACGTGGATATTCGATAAAAATCATCCTCGTGCGCTCACAATTGATATTACCAAAGAAGGAAAGAAAATTGGAACAACATCGTGCAAGATTTCTCACATTCTATTACATTCGTACGTAACATTTGCGTTTCAAATCTTCGTAGTCCTACAAACTCGATCACAATAGATCATTTCTCGTTTCTCAGCCATTGTCTAGGCAAAATGCATTCCATCCTCCACTTACCACACACCGGCTCTCCCGACCCACCTATTGCCGGTTTATAAATAAATAAACGACCAAACGCGTTTCCAATGGACGTGAAAGCCACCATAACGTGTCCGGTATCGTTTCTGATACCTTGACACGGTCGACTCGTTTCAGTTTAGTCTGACCAGCTGACCTTCTCTTTCTCTTATCGTCCAACCGAACGATCTCTCACTTTCCGCGTCAATTATTCGCCGAACGAAAAATAGTTACGCTACGGTCAAGGATATTCCTGATAATACCAGACGCGCGATCTCGGAGAATTCGAGAATTACACGCGTCCCATAGTATTCGGTTCATGGTAATAACGTTACGGACGGGTGATCGTCGTTTCATAAGTAACCACTTTGCAAACTTATGCGCCCGTGTTCGAGAAAATCCTTCGGTAGCTCGTATTATATTCGTGTTTCGTAAGAGATCATTGTGTCGTATCGCTGCTTACGATACAACGTTGTCACGAAAATTGTCACGATCGAAGTCGCAACGTTATTTCGATACGAGTAAACGGTTTTCCGGTGTTAAATAGACATCGTTGTAGAACGTTTTCAAGCGATATTTCGCGCGTCACCGAATCGCGTTAACAAGAACGGTCAACGTAAACCGCGTACGATTATCGCACGGAACAGACACGGAGAAATATATTAAGGCAATATTTCTGTTTCGATATCGAGTAAGAAGGAAGCGTTCGATTACGATCCTCTCGTTTCGCTGGTTGCGTCAACGTCGGGACGTCGAGAAACCGCTTCCGGTTATTATCGTCTTCCTTTCGAAGCAACGCGACGAAACCGGCCAGATGATAGTCCTTTCGTAATCTCCGCGACATCCTGCGTTAAGGCTTACCCCTTTTGTTCGATAAACCCCTGTTTACAGGGTGCAACTAGTCGTAATTTTGCACGCGAATCCGTTTCCGCCGGTTAATACGACAGGAAATAATTTCGCAGAAGCGACGTAATTACGAGGAAGACGCGTATTATCCTGAATAGGGACACGATAGGCATAATATCTATGGTCCCGATATATTTTTCCCTCGCATCGTCGTTATACGTAGAGAAATCTAGCTCGTATTCGCTAGGCGAATGAACCGATCGGTAAACGAATAAACGTCGTTTCCGTTTCAGAGCCACTGCCGCGGAAACGATGGATCTACGTGGATATTCGATAAAAATCATCCTCGTGCGCTCACAATTGATATTACCAAAGAAGGAAAGAAAATTGGAACAACATCGTGCAAGATTTCTCACATTCTATTACATTCGTACGTAACATTTGCGTTTCAAATCTTCGTAGTCCTACAAACTCGATCACAATAGATCATTTCTCGTTTCTCAGCCATTGTCTAGGCAAAATGCATTCCATCCTCCACTTACCACACACCGGCTCTCCCGACCCACCTATTGCCGGTTTATAAATAAATAAACGACCAAACGCGTTTCCAATGGACGTGAAAGCCACCATAACGTGTCCGGTATCGTTTCTGATACCTTGACACGGTCGACTCGTTTCAGTTTAGTCTGACCAGCTGACCTTCTCTTTCTCTTATCGTCCAACCGAACGATCTCTCACTTTCCGCGTCAATTATTCGCCGAACGAAAAATAGTTACGCTACGGTCAAGGATATTCCTGATAATACCAGACGCGCGATCTCGGAGAATTCGAGAATTACACGCGTCCCATAGTATTCGGTTCATGGTAATAACGTTACGGACGGGTGATCGTCGTTTCATAAGTAACCACTTTGCAAACTTATGCGCCCGTGTTCGAGAAAATCCTTCGGTAGCTCGTATTATATTCGTGTTTCGTAAGAGATCATTGTGTCGTATCGCTGCTTACGATACAACGTTGTCACGAAAATTGTCACGATCGAAGTCGCAACGTTATTTCGATACGAGTAAACGGTTTTCCGGTGTTAAATAGACATCGTTGTAGAACGTTTTCAAGCGATATTTCGCGCGTCACCGAATCGCGTTAACAAGAACGGTCAACGTAAACCGCGTACGATTATCGCACGGAACAGACACGGAGAAATATATTAAGGCAATATTTCTGTTTCGATATCGAGTAAGAAGGAAGCGTTCGATTACGATCCTCTCGTTTCGCTGGTTGCGTCAACGTCGGGACGTCGAGAAACCGCTTCCGGTTATTATCGTCTTCCTTTCGAAGCAACGCGACGAAACCGGCCAGATGATAGTCCTTTCGTAATCTCCGCGACATCCTGCGTTAAGGCTTACCCCTTTTGTTCGATAAACCCCTGTTTACAGGGTGCAACTAGTCGTAATTTTGCACGCGAATCCGTTTCCGCCGGTTAATACGACAGGAAATAATTTCGCAGAAGCGACGTAATTACGAGGAAGACGCGTATTATCCTGAATAGGGACACGATAGGCATAATATCTATGGTCCCGATATATTTTTCCCTCGCATCGTCGTTATACGTAGAGAAATCTAGCTCGTATTCGCTAGGCGAATGAACCGATCGGTAAACGAATAAACGTCGTTTCCGTTTCAGACGCAAGGGCTTAGCGCGCGAGCGTGATTCCGCTCGGAGGCAGCGAGAGGACGCGCGCCGATCGATACGCAGCAGCTAGTGGACGAGCGAGCCGAGCAAAGATGGTGCAGAGTTGCAACGGCAGAGGTTCCAGGTACGCGAAACGGGCTCTGGCGCTCTTGTTCGTCTGGAGTTTGATGATGATCGCGGCCGTGCAACTTCGCCACATGGACCACGGTCTCAGAGAGACTCCGACCGGCGAAGAATCGTCGAACGAGATCCTCGTCGACGACGCGTACAAGCATCGCGAACGATCAACGAACGATCGAGGCTCTTCCGGCCTGAGCCTGTCGAGATATCTCCTCCAGAGGTCCTCCGCGGACTCCAGTTTCTCCAATTCCGGCAGTTCTAACATTCTCACCACCCTGACCACCTTGTCCAACTCTCCGACGAAGAATCCTTTCGATCTGGAGCCCCTCCTGGACAAAAGACCAGCGAAAACCGAGGAGGAACTGATCCAAGAGATCGAACAGAGACTACCCAGCCTGCCTCTCGCCTATTGGAGCAAAAACAGCAAATACGCAGGGTCGCAGGGTAAGAGCAGCGGCAAGGGTAGCAACGGCTGCTCGAACCTCAAGTACCCGTCCATCTACGACATCGAATTCAACAACGTGTACTGGCAAACGATGAGGACCAGCAACGGGACCTTCCAGTTCTTCGGCGCGTTTTACGACCGCAGAAAGTTGTCTAGAATCGGTCCAGCCATTCGGATAGTGGGCATGATCGACAGGATCGAGCCCACGGTAAAGACCCACTGTCAGATATGGTACGACGGGGACAGGGAGGCTAAGGTGGTCGAAACCTTGGAGTACAAGTATATCTGGTACTCGAAATGGGGCAATTACAAGCAGGGCATCTACCAACCGTACGTGATAGCCTGCAAGATACCCCAATCTCATTGGCTGAAAGGTCCTCCGGCTTCCGTGTCGATGGTCGAGAAACCCTGCGACACCGCTACCAATAATCTCCGGGTGATTTACAACAAACCCGAGCGCAAGAAGGACTTTGCCGTCTGCGTGAAAGGTTTGGACTTTCTTCACGAAGATCTGTCCGTCAGGCTGGTCGAGTGGATCGAGCTGATCACTCTTCTAGGGGCCGATAAGATCTACTTTTATCAGCTACAAGTGCATCCTAACGTGACCAAGATTCTCGATCACTATCAGAGGCTGGGCAAGGTACACGTCACTCCGTTGACCCTTCCCGGAGGTCAACCTAACGTCCCGGCCTTCCAACATATGTATCTGACCAAGAAGACCAACCACAAGAGGCAAAACGAACTGATTCCTTACAACGACTGTCTATACAAACATATGTACGAGTACGAGTACATAGCGCTGTTGGACGTGGACGAAGTGATCATGCCTGTGCAGGATCTCACGTGGCAGGACCTGATGAAAAGGGTGCTCTCGAAGGCGTTCAAGATACACAACGAAACCAGAGCATCGTACAATGTGAGGAACGTGTACTTCCTCGATGACCTACTGCACTCTCATGGCTACTTCAAGGACATACCGAAGTGAGTAAACTCGCTACTTTCACGTGGACGTTCAAGCGGACAGGGGGGGATGGAAGGTCTCCGCGCGGATCGATTCGCGATCATCGGAAACGCGATACGACCCGTTACGAATTCGAAGATCGCCAGTAAACGCGGTTATTACGGGTAAGGGATGCTACCAGGCTGGGAGGAATCGTGCATCCCGATGCGAAACAAATCGAACGTCTCGAAGGCTCTATAGAATCTTAGGTAGCGGTAGTTTTCGAAGTTTAGCAGATTTTCAGCGGCGACATACTTTCCCGTCGACGAAATGTATTTCGAAAGCTGGACAAATTATAGATACGGATGATTTCTGCCGTGTCATTAGGAGTATTAGGAAATTTCAACGTAACCGTACGGCGTTGTTCGATCGAACAGCAATTACAAACTGTACACGATTAATACAACATCGTTCAAGCTTTTACCGTTTAAGCGAGTATAACGCTCGAACGAAATTCTTCTGTTTCAGATACATGCATATGCTACAGCACGTGTATCGTTCGATGAACTTCACCAAACCGAATCAATACATCAAGTGTTTCCACAATCCCGAGAGAGTAGTAACGTTACACAATCACTTCCCGTTGGCGTGTCTGGGTGCCGGGTGCACCAGTTACCCCATAGAAACGGAGGATGCTGAACTCCAGCATTATCGGTCCGATTGCGTGAAATCGTTGAAGAAAAGTTGCGTGCAATACCGAGAGAACAGCGTACGAGACACGACTATCTGGAGATACAAGGATCAATTGATCGAGAGGGTGACGAGGACCTTGGAGACTCTGGGCTTCTTTGGACCCAGCTAGCGCGAACTACCGTTTCTTCTTCCTTTTCTCTCGTCGTCTTCTTCTTCTTCTTCTTCTTCTTCTTCTTCTTCTTCTTCTTCTTCTTCTTCTTCTTCTTCTTCTTCTTCTTCTTCTTCTTCTTCTTCTTCTTCTTCTTCTTCTTCTTCTTCTTCTTCTTCTTCTTCTTCTTCTTCTTCTTCTTCTTCTTCTTCTTCTTCTTCTTCTTCTTCTTCTTCTTCTTCTTCTTCTTCTTCTTCTTCTTCTTCTTCTTCTTCTTCTTCTTCTTCTTCTTCTTCTTCTTCTTCTTCTTCTTCTTCTTCTTCTTCTTCTTCTTCTTCTTCTTCTTCTTCTTCTTCTTCTTCTTCTTCTTCTTCTTCTTCTTCTTCTTCTTCTTCTTCTTCTTCTTCTTCTTCTTCTTCTTCTTCTTCTTCTTCTTCTTCTTCTTCTTCTTCTTCTTCTTCTTCTTCTTCTTCTTCTTCTTCTTCTTCTTCTTCTTCTTCTTCTTCTTCTTCTTCTTCTTCTTCTTCTTCTTCTTCTTCTTCTTCTTCTTCTTCTTCTTCTTCTTCTTCTTCTTCTTCTTCTTCTTCTTCTTCTTCTTCTTCTTCTTCTTCTTCTTCTTCTTCTTCTTCTTCTTCTTCTTCTTCTTCTTCTTCTTCTTCTTCTTCTTCTTCTTCTTCTTCTTCTTCTTCTTCTTCTTCTTCTTCTTCTTCTTCTTCTTCTTCTTCTTCTTCTTCTTCTTCTTCTTCTTCTTCTTCTTCTTCTTCTTCTTCTTCTTCTTCTTCTTCTTCTTCTTCTTCTTCTTCTTCTTCTTCTTCTTCTTCTTCTTCTTCTTCTTCTTCTTCTTCTTCTTCTTCTTCTTCTTCTTCTTCTTCTTCTTCTTCTTCTTCTTCTTCTTCTTCTTCTTCTTCTTCTTCTTCTTCTTCTTCTTCTTCTTCTTCTTCTTCTTCTTCTTCTTCTTCTTCTTCTTCTTCTTCTTCTTCTTCTTCTTCTTCTTCTTCTTCTTCTTCTTCTTCTTCTTCTTCTTCTTCTTCTTCTTCTTCTTCTTCTTCTTCTTCTTCTTCTTCTTCTTCTTCTTCTTCTTCTTCTTCTTCTTCTTCTTCTTCTTCTTCTTCTTCTTCTTCTTCTTCTTCTTCTTCTTCTTCTTCTTCTTCTTCTTCTTCTTCTTCTTCTTCTTCTTCTTCTTGAGAACATTCTTCGGCGAATCGAAGTATGTTAGATTATTTTCGAAACGAGTTCGCCGCCGAACACGTCGTCCGCTTCGAGAGCGGAACTCGAGACGAGGCGTTCAGGTTTCAGCTTGAATGCTGAATTGCTGGATTTCATTTTCTTTTTCTTCCTTTTTCCTCCTTCTTTTTAGAATACGCGGAGGTTCCTCGTTGCCGTCGATGTACAGGCTGCTTCGAAACGTAAACGCGAATCGACCGTTTTCCGAACGCCGTGCGGAACGAACGTCGACGGAGAATGATCGATAGTTGTCGAGTAAATAATGGGTCCAAGTAGAAAGAGATATACATATCTATTTTTGTAAAAAGATTTGAATCGAAGGATTTTGTAATATATCGATGTCTCGGCCCCGGACACGCGTTCGTACACGAATACTCTGTGAAAAAATCGGCCGGAGCGCGCGACAACGATTAGGCTAATTCGTAGATTAACGTAGAATACTTATTCCAATCTGTGCCACTTTACGACGATAAGAATAAACGATAGTGTTTGCCGTGATACTTATCTACTTTTACTATTTGTAAAATTGTTATCGCGACAAAATAGTAGAAAGTATCATGACACGTATCGTGATGAAACCGATTCGAGAAAACCTCGAAATCGTTTAACGACGAACTCCGATAGTTTCACGAGGTAGAAATTTTAAAAACGAAAACGCTGTCCTTCGAGAGAGTCGCGGTTAACTAACGATCGCTCTCGAATCGGCTATACTTTTATACGACGTTCAGCGTACTTTTTCTCGGATCGAATGTCACCGAGAGCGACCAAAAGAGCATCAATTACAGCTGCATTCGAGCGCTCGATGCTCAAACGATAATCGAGAGAAACTCGTGTACTCGAGCAAACTGGGACGTTCCATTAACTGTCGCGAATATTGCAAATTTCGTTATCGAGTTGTACCCGTCCCGTCGAACACGATGGAACGTATTGTTCGTTGAACTGTTCGAATATTCGAGTCCCAAAAACCGCGTATCTAGAACATATCGAAACGAACAGCGACCGAAATGTCGCGGTGTTTTAATTTCGAAGGCGAGAAGAAAAAAAAAACGCGAGATCGAAAGCGGGTCTTCGCGATACCTGGACTTGCTCAACGGCACCATGGTCAAACGTTTGCGAAACAACGTTCGACGTGTTCATCCTGAACGATGAAAATCTAGTGTCGCTAGTATTTCGTGATTGCGCGTCGATCTAACTACACTTTCGATTATGTCTTGTTTGAATCTGAAGAAGATTTTGAACAACGAATCTGAAGAAAACCTAATCGATCCTAGAAAGCTGTCGGTGATATCGCAGAATCGTTTAAAACCATAGAAATATTACCCGTCCGTCGAATGTTTCTATCTATTTCGATTTCCATTTTGCGCTCCCAAGCCGATTTCAGCGATTCGTTTCGAACGAAATCCCGTCGTTTCGTGGATGTACGAGTATAAATTATACAGAGGACGATCTAGAATCTAGAGGCAAATCAAATTGAAAGTCCGGTCACGTAAACGAGAAGGACGACACGAAATAAATCGCTAGGATGCAGAGACATCGTTCGAAAAGTTTCGTTACTTGTTCGTTTGCGATTCTTATGTCACGGGTTACGCGTGCTTCGAAGCCAAACGATATTTTCCACCCTTTAACCCGATCGGTTCGTAGAAATACTCGTCTATTTCTCGTATCCGTGAAACTGTACGACGAATCTCCGTTAACCGAAATATACGCGAAAGAAATGAAGGTTTTATAACTCGAAGAGCGAAGCAGTGTCGTTGATCGGGGCTTGGAAGCTCGTCGAGATACCGTTGGAGCATAAAAGAGCGTCGCAAATAAAGAGGCACGAATTGTACGGAGGAACGAAAGTACATCCACGAAACAACCCATGTTTTCTTCTCGTGCGACGGCTGCGTGTTTTATTTGTAACTCGAAGCGAGCTCTCGACAGCTCGTTCTCCTCCTTTTCTGCATGGTGAACCTCGATCGCTTTCTACGCGACACGACCGTTCGTCTCGTTTCCATTTGACGAGGTGAGAGCGCGATTGACGTTGCACCATGAATTAACGTACGTCTACCTACATATGTAATATTGCTATATGTATATACGCGCGTTAATCCGTTGACCGGACCACTTTTCGACTCGAGTAAAGGTTCGATCGATAAAAGGTTCATTCTAATTTTATAAGAGCAACCGAACAAATACGAAGCTTATCCACTTTGGAGAAACGTCGCCCTCCACTTTGCTTTCGTTACATTCGAAATTCTACGAAGAACAAACCACTGAACTACCTTTCGTCGAAATCAGAGTCGTAAAGAAATAAAAACGATAGTTTTTCGGTTAACGGATTAATCGGATCATCGAAACGGTATTTCATAAGGAATATTTATGTGAACGCACACCGATTTATAGCATAGCGTTAATCGATCGATTTAGACATTATATCGTATAATTGCATCTACGATTGTCGTCGACGAACGATCGTATCGATGAGACAGACTGATGACGATATTCCTGTCTAATATTTAGGCTCGATTTCGCTCAATTTCAATCTCGAGTATTTCCGATTATTTAGAATATTTTTTAATTGTCCTTTATGCGAAATCGAGCGTCAAAGTGCCTCGAATTGTTTTACGTAAAGCGCGTCCCAACATGGACCATCGAACTCTCGCTCCATTCCTTGTAAATACACAAAACTGTCGGTTGGGATATTAATAAAATATTATAAAATCAATATCTCTGAAGTATTTTATATTCCCTATTTGACACTACTAACGAACGAAGGAAAGTTTCTATCTTCTCCGAATTTCACGCGTTTGAATCGCGGCGCGAAAATTGTGTCACTCAGCGCCATCTAGCAGTGAACGTAGGAACTACCGAACTAAAAAATTGCGTTTTTTTGGAAAATGAGCAAATTTTCGAATGCTTGGGCGAAACCATAGTGTCCTATGACCATGAATCTATGAGAATTACATCGTTTTAGCTTCATAAATGCATCGCAGGACGATTTTTAAAAATACCGCGATTCATGGACACAAAAAAGTCTAGCCATCTAGCGGTGAAAGTTGGAACTAACAAAATGAAAAATTCCGTTTTTTGGAAAAATTACGAACTTTGGGGCCCAAATACGGCCAGAAATGAAATCTGCGATCAAAATACCATAGGAATAGTGCCATAATATGTGTCTAAAAGCCCTAGAAACGATAATTAAAATTTAATGCAATTTATGGAGCAAAAAATTGCCGTCCATCTAGCGGTGAAAGTTGGAACTAACAAAATCGAAAATTTCGTTTTTTGCAAAAACTAGCCACTTTAGGGCTGTAATATGATTAAAAAAGTAATCTACGATCAAAATGCCATAAGAACAATGCCATAATATGTGTCTAAAAGCATTAGAATCGAAATTGAAAATTAATGCAATTTATGGACTTTTTGTCAGCGCCATCTAGCGGCGAAACACCTGAACTAAAATCAAAAAATGGGGTCCGGATCACGCGGTTCATTAGTTCCAACTTTCACCGCTAGATGGACGGCAATTTTTTGCTCCATAAATTGCATTAAATTTTAATTATCGATTTTAAGGCTTTTAGACACGTATTATGGCACTTTCCCTATGGTATTTCGATCGTAGATTTCATTTCCGGTCTTATTTGATCTCAAAAGTTTGTAGTTTTTCGAAAATATGGAATTTTTGCATTACGCAGCGCCCCTAGCGGCAGAAGTTGGAACTAACGAACAGCGTATCTCAGATGAGCGTAGTTCACCCTGTTAGACGGACAGGGGGCGCCACATGTACTATTCCTGATTTACGCGCGAAAATTTGAATTGAAAAGTGCTTAGAGATACTTTTAGCATAATTTTCTCAATTTATTAAGTCTATTTAATTAAATCAATCCTCAAACGAATTAGTTCTTCTATTTTTTATGAAATATTGACAGTTTAAATGATAGGAAAGTTATTCTTTATGCAACTTTGATACGAAAGGAGATTAAATTCTGAATATGAGCTAACTGGCAAGTGATATTTAAAGGTATAAGGAATATAAATGACAAAATCCTGATTTTACCTTCATTTGTACTAACTTTTATTTGACAAATAAAAAGTATCCATTAAAAATAATTGAAAACTGTGTATCTTATATAATACACACATCGTGATACGATCGAGATTGTGTGTTTCTTTTTCTCATTCAATCGCACTAGTTACATTCTTACGTACACCCACACATACACCATCCTTTTCCCTTCATTTAATCCTTCGTGGATTGCAATTACGAACTAGCATTACCCCCTACTCTTTCTTCCTGCAATCACGCAGATATACATTGAAAAAAACGCACCTATTTCTCTCTCACGAATTTCGTGTGAGAGAAAGAAATATTAAAGTAAATGTAAACGATGAACATCTGATCCGTATCCTTGAATTATTGGAATCGTATCCATTAAGTACTTACGTGGTAATTACAAATTCTTAATTAATTTCAACGAGTGGGTCATGTAAAAAAGTAAAAACAAAATATGTCTTGTCTCTGTTTATTTTCCACACGAATAGTGCGCAATGAATTTCTTTTAATTTTCACGCCGTTTTCACGCGTTAATTAAACGATTAACTGTCGCTATTCGAAGAACGAAGCTGCTTTCTGTCCGCTTCCGTCCAGCGGTCGTAGGTGGAACGCTCGTAGAGCGTCGCAACTCGACGGAGTTTCAACGATGGCATAGGTGGGATAAATTTGGAATCGACCATCTCGTTTCGAACGAAACACGCGTACGTTTTACGTTAGTTCCGTGGCTGGTTTCGCTTCGAAAATTATTTCTCCAACGCGTTGAGCCGAAAACTCGAGAAAAACTTTCACGCGCTCGACCAAAAGTTTCGGAAATAAACCTTATTCTAAAAACCATCGTCAATTATAATAATCGTCGACGGGCTATGTTCATCGAAATAAACAACATTGCTATCGCGTGATTCGACGTGTTTCGTAATTTACAGAACGTCGATAACTCGGTGCAAGAGAGAAATTAAAAGAAAAAGACGAGCGCAGTATTTGAAATTGTTCGAAGCTTCTGAAACACACGGACCGTTTCGAGTACATAACGAAGATACAATTGTGCAATATTCGCGAATAAATACGAAATTACAAAGCGTTTTGATGCGCCATCGTCGAACCGATTAGAAGTTCATCCGCGCGGTTCGTTCGTTTCGCGGAAGGTGAACGGAGCATTTGTTAGCGAGGCGAATAAAGATATATCGGTTGATCGAAGCGCGATCGTGGACAGGAAGGATATCGAAGGCAGAATCAGAAAAATTCGGAAAGATAGGATGGAAGAGGAAAAGAGAAGAGAAGCAGAGATTTGAGCGTGGTTCGAGGCGGAAAGCACGATGGCACGTTCGCGACAGGAAACGTTCGAACTGATGGTCGAGGCTGAGAAGCCCTCCAAGTGCATCGGGTTCCTGCGATTTTTGTGGAAGTTCTTCAGATGCGTTTTTTCCCACGTATCGTTGGTCTCGTTGGTCGTGCTTTACTGCGTGATCGGCGCATATACTTTCGAAGCCCTCGAAGCGAATCACGAGAAAGAGGTAGCTACAGGCTTTTCCTCGCTCCACGACCGTTTCCATTTTTCAAAAACTTCTCTAACGCTGCCAAAACGATTTGAGATTTTTCGAAGAAATCGGCCGTTCAACGTAGACATCTCGATCTATTTTTCTTAGCTGATTAAATTCTTATTTCGATTTCTATCTCTTCCGCTTTCGCGCTATTCGCATCGATATTATTTCCTACCATTCATCTTTCCATTTTTCTCTTTCTTCTTTTCCTTCGCTCGCAACCATTCTGTTTTTGTTTCATCGACATTTTCCCTTTTTTCCATCACCACCATTTTATTTGTATTTTTTGTTCCGTTCGCTGCCATTACGAGTAGTACACGCCATTTCTTTTTTTCATTATTTTTATCAGTACTCTACCCTACGCGTTATCCCTACTCTATCCGCGTCGATATTTCTTTTAACATCGTTTCTTTCGCATCGCTTTTTTCTGGTCCGTCTTCCCTATACCTTCGTTTCTGTTTTTCTCTTTGCGGCATCGTTCAAGATAAAGAGAAACATCAAAGACATACGAGGAAACGTAGCGGAACAGCTCTGGAAGATCACGAAAGAAGTGGAGGTTCTGATTCGCGAAAATTGGACGGAGAAGGCGTTGCGCGAGTTAAAGGTAGCATTTTCATCGGTCACGTTCCGTAACGAGCATCGCACCAATTTCTTCCCGACATATGCCTATTTGTTCCCGCAGAGTTTCGAGAATAGTCTCGTGTGGGTTATGGAGAAAGAGGGCTGGAACGGCAGCGAAGGAGAGGACGATATTCAGTGGACTTTTGCCGGTGCTCTATTTTATTCCATCGTAGTTATTACGACCATCGGTAAGTCGTTGGACGAAAAATTCACGCTATACGCTATTACGAGATATCTCCGTTTTATTTTTCATTCGAATCCGTACAAATTTTTAATCGATGTTTCATTATTCGTCTTTGGTCCGTTATTTTTTCTTAAAGTATAGCCAGTCGAACGGTAAATAAGACACTTTGCACAAACGCATCGCGGATAATTTAGGTAGAAAATTGTACGCACCTAATATACCTAACAAACGCATGCACGAAACAATTTTTCCTATTCGAACATTAAAAAATCTATAATATGAGGCGAAAACTTCTTTTTCACTCTTCGAATTAATTCCCTCCGGTGCGTGTAATTCATGAAAATCGAATCAAGAGATTGAACATTGCTCGAACGATGTACGAGAGAAGAGTCACGAATACGGTCTAATAAGAAACGTTCCGTTGACGCGTCGTTGTAAATCGTGCCTAAGCTTTTTCGCTGCTACTCGATTCGTTGTCGGTCTGATTTCTCTTTAACGAACGACTGTAAAGGTCGATGTCGTAGTCGTAATTCTCCTCGTAGGGGTTGCCATGGGGCCTTGGAAAAGGATTCTCCCCGGAGGAATGGTAATTTCCAGGATATCTATTGCCAGGATAGAAGCTCCCTTGCGGTCTTCGATTGCCGTAATAGTTTGGCGATTGCGCGAACGTTGATGGCCCGTACTTACGAGGAGGTCCCTTAAACGAACGATTAGCAACGGTTATTAAAAAAAAAGTCACCGGCTCTACATACATACATACATACATACAGACGAAAGGAACTAATTTTTCTTTATATACCTACTCTGTACGGGGGATATTGTCCTTCTCCGAGTTGTTCAGAAACCAAAGCAGGGTATTTCTTGCTGTTGAAGCAGCAGAACTTTTTATCCTTTCCGCAACTTCCCTGGATTAAATATACAATAAGGGTAGAATGAGAGTAATTTTGGCAAATTGGCAAAACATCTTCAAGTACAAGAATCGCTTACGAATTTCAATCCGCCCGAGGGACAATTGAAGCTGTATCTGCATCTACAAACATCGTACTCTTGGTATCGAGGATTGTCTTTGATCGCGGACGCCAGCAATCCGGAGTATCCAGCTTCCTCGTCTATGCTTCCGTCGTAAGAGGGTCTAAACATAACGACGCTTTTATTCGGGATATATTAAACCGAATAAAATAAATAAATAGCGGAAATTTTTCGTGAAAAGAACGAGCAAATTCGAGCATACAGATTCGAAGAACATAATCCAGTTGGTTGACGTTATTTCACGACACAAAGCCAATCAGCATCGGACCAGGAACGTCGAAACGGATTTACTGGGTTGGAAAACAGCGGGAAGATACGAATACCTTTTTATAATACCGGTCGGGCCACCAGGACCGACAAGAACTCCTTTGTTGCCAGGATACGATGTTGGTACAATGGGTCTACCGTTAGGACCGTAAGGTCCCCCGTTCTGTGGTCTAAATCCTATCAAAGGTCTCTCTTGCTCGAAATCTTCTTGGTTCTCGTTCACCAGGTACCTACAAACATATATGTACGTATACAAGAATAGCCTTTTCTACGTTTAACATAAAACTCGAGCAACGCTCGGTATCGATTATAATCTACGGGGTAAATAAAATAAGAATATCTGGAAAAAATTTCATCGGGACTTTTTATGCGGAAACTGTACCGATTTAGGCGACGAGGAAAGAAAAGGGAAAAAGTTATTCGACGAAACGAACATACGTTTAAAAGAGAAGAGCCAATAACAAAACATACTTTGTTTTATCCGACCTGTCCCGTAGTTGGTCGTCTTTATTCCAAACCCACTGGTCGTTTTGCGAGTTGACGACTACAACGGCGAGACAACTAAGCAAGAAGAGAAACCTCATGTTGCTCGGCCAAACGAATCTCGCGGGCGATAAAGGTCTCGCGAATATCACCGGCACACGACTGAAACGAGAACGAAAGTGAATCGTGCCTTTATATACGCGTACATGCACCGTAGAAAGGTGAACGCACCTCGCGTGTTTCACGAGCGATTCGAGGTCCTTTCGATAACCATCTCGAATCAACAGTTTTCGGGGATGATTTATCCCTTCTTCCGATCGCTACCGTGCCAAGATTTTCGGTTAAACGATTCAGACCTCCGACACCGTGCCGAAGCGAAAAAGCGAATCGATTAAATTGCCACCTCGTTTATTTCGTTCGGTGATTCGCGACTGTAAATCGGACTTTTTCGAACGTTTCGTTGTCAAAGTACGAAGAAATCGAGGTGGTATCGTAGTCGAATTCGAGGCGTGGGAGAGAAAGGTTTTCGTAATTCGAGTAAAAGGAGAGGAAGGAGTAAGTAGGCGTATCGCGCGGAAACTACTGTTTCTGAAACGCGTCCTTCGATCTGGGAAAATCCGTTGCTTCGAGAAGGGGAAGAGTACCTCTTTCTTTCGCATAAAATCCAGCGAAATGGCGTAACAACGCGATTCTTTCACGTAACACGATCGTATCGCGCTGTAAAAGATCCCGGCGATGACCATCGCTCGTTCGTTGCGCCGCACCTTCGTACTTTTTGCAACGTTCGAAGAAAAAACCGATCAAAGGAGAAACCGTGATACGGATGTTCTTAAACGCGATTCGCGCGGAACGTCGAAATAAAATTTCGTCGCCGTTCGAACGTAGTATTACCGTTACCTGTCCCATCCTAGAGTCGGAAACGTTAAGGGACAGAGAAAACCGCATTACAGTCGAATTACGCGATGAAATTCTCGATAGAACGAAGGAAACGACGGGCCACTTTGAGCCTCGAAGTAATCTCGTTTCTGAAGAAGCACGATCGAACGAAAATCCAATGATCAAGGTCATTTTCACCCGCACTGCCGCCGTACCGCCGCTGCTCTGACCAGAAAGGAAATTCACTTTTCCTCCAGCGGAGGAAATCACCGCCACCTTCATAATTTCCCCTGCTCGATTTTTACGCCCTTTACAATTCCTAACCAACCCGCCTCCTCCATTAAACCTTTCACGATCGCGGAGAACGATAGTTGAAATTGTTCTTCGTTATCGTTCGAATTCGATTAGTAACCAAAGGCGGATAGTTGAATTATATATAGACGGGATAACAACGAAACAAACCAAATCGAGAAGAATTACTTTCGCTAATTCATAGCATCGAGATAACGGTGTCCTTCGCCTTGAAGATGTGGTAATACGCCTCGTCCGAAGGTTAAACGACCTTCACCCATTCACGTCTCGCGGACGCGTCATCGACCAACGATCGTTACGAAATCGACCTTCGAATATCTTCCTAATATTTCGATTCTTTCCGAAATCGAACGTTCCGAAAAGCCCGGAAATTTCTATCGAATAGATTTTCTATCGGTCCGTAGGATAGTTGCCACCGTTCGGAATGAACCGTCTATATTACGAAAAGCGGGAAATTGCGCAAGGCTAATCGCGCGTTTTTCAACGACAGGATACGGTCACATCGCTCCGAAGACGAAGAACGGGAAAGTCGTGACCATATTCTACGCAATCCTTGGGATTCCCCTGATGTTACTCTGCCTCTCCAACATCGGCGACGTTATGGCGTCGAGTTTCAGGTAACTGATCGTCCCCAAAGCAACGCTCTACCTTTCCGAGGAAGGTGGTTATCACCTTCGAGCTCGACGACTGCATCGAAAAATTCTACTTCTACTTCTTTAGATTTTTATACTGGAGAGTTTGTTGCTACATATGCACGAAACCACCGACGAGAAGAAGGAGACCGAGAACTCATTTCGGAAGATCGTATTCCGTCCGACAAGCAGGGTAACTATTTGCCGTATAAAATAAATGTACTTTCGTAACGAGGATAAATGTTCGAAAGACGGTACGGAGCGAGCAGAGGAGGCTTTCGAAGATCCATCAGAACGAGCGACAGGTCCGCGGATTCGGTTCTAGGCCTCTACGAGTTCGCGGCAAGGTCGTCCTTCCCCGACGTGGATCACAAGTATGCTATCTTCGTTTTTTTAGTCAAATATTAATTTTTTTCGATCGGTCGTCGACGTCGTTCTATTTCGCTTAAACCGAGAACGATCGTACGAACGATCGAAAGAAAGCTGAGACTCGGTAAAATGGCAAAATTAAAAGAGACGCGTTCGTTTCAAACGAGATACAACGTTCGTCGCTACGGGGATAACGATCAGAAGAGGCCGAATCCTTCTTATCCTTCCTCGGTGAATCGAAATTTCGGATCAAAGTCTGCTACGGTGAGCAGGTACTCGGATCTAGCCGTGTCCACTCCGAAAACGCCCAGAGCTATTCGTAAGTGTCGTCGAAAGCCATTATCGATCGACAGCGACCGTGAGTGATCGTAAATGACCATTGCATTCAGCCAGTCCCAAGATGACCACGCAATCGTTGGACAGGAAGTTGCTGATGCGTTCACCGACCGACACCGATCGTTCGGCCGTCTTGTGCAACAAATACGCCTTGGATGATTTGGAGAACGAGCTGCGTCGATGGCGGACTTCCGCCGGAAGCAACAGTAAATATGCATCGTAAAACAGACTTTTAGATTAGAACGGTTAGAATTTCATTATCGAAGTTGCAGCAGGGAAAGGGAGCGAAGCGAACGACGCAGGATCGACCGAAAGGACGAGAATCGATTCGAAAGACGCGCCATCGGCGACAAGGTCCTTGCCCAGAAGATGCCTATCGATGGAGGGTGCTACCACGAATTATAAGAGAAGTTTGGCATCGGCTCAGCGACCGTCTTCCTTTTACCTGGAAGCGGAGTACGGGAGAAGAGGTCAGAGTACAAAGGGAAGACGTTACAGAAGTAACTACCCCGTTGGTAAGTGTAAATCGTTGGGGCTGGCGCGACGAAAATCCAAGCGTGGAAATCTCCGAACACTGAACGGTCGCGTTAACGAAATCGAATTTTCAGCTCGACCTTACAGACGAGAGTCGTTAGCGCCGGAGCTCGTGGGCTATGCCGGACACAGGCAAATATACCCGGACGAATTCGATTCCGAATACGAGTATTATACCGGCGACGATCAGGAAAGACAACCCATCAAGCCGGTACCGATCTGGTTATGCGTATTCTTAGTAGTTAGTTACATATTCGGAGGCGCATTTTTGTTTAGCGCCTGGGAACACTGGCCCTTCCTCGATTCGGCTTACTTTTGCTTCATCACCCTCACGACTATCGGTTAGCATACTCCGCTTTCAAATTATTCGGATTTCTGTTCGTCCGATCGAGTAACTCGAAAATGATCGACGATACAGCGTAGACGCTAGTAGGAATATCCCGTAAGGACAAAGTTGCCGGAAGTGTGGACAAAGCGTTTGTTACAGGATTCGGCGATTTCGTACCGGCGTACAAGCTCGACGCTCACAAAGGGATCGCGGTTTGCTCGTTGTACTTGCTATTTGGAATTGCTTTGCTGGCGATGAGCTTTAATCTGGTACAAGAGGAGGTCATCAACAACGTGAAGAACGTCGCGAAGAGGCTCGGGATCATCAAAGAGAGCGACGACGAGGAAGAAGCCGAGGACTACGACGCGTACGACGTCGAATACAACGACGAGGTCGACAACGAGGAGCTCGAGGGCTATGTCCTCGATAGCCCTCGATGTCACTCGATGCCTCGAAATTCTCGCGGAATTTCCGTCGCGTAGCGTCCCGAATTTCTTTTCATTCGTCCACCGTCGCGTCGCCTCGCACCTCCCTCTGACACCGTTCTTTTCAAAATCTTTCAACGAACAATTAAACCGATACCGATTAACTCCGACAAAAATCTACCGTGTCCTTTCAACTTCGATTTCTTCTCGATGTCTCTCGCTCTAAATAATGCCATTCTATCTCCGACAGACTCTTTAATTCGTGTCTCCGATATCGGTTCGAATAAAATTCATTTTTTATATCGTAGATAGAGTTCGATGTCCTTTTCCTGGATCGTATCCCGTCTCTCTACCGGGTGTCGAGAAAGTTGGAATCCGGTCAGGGACGGCCAGCTTGGTTCCAGTTATTTTTAGGGTCGCGCTATTTTCGGTCACTGTGTCGAATCGAGTGGTAAGGAATCAGTGCACGAGGAAACCTCGAGAAAGCGGCTCGTTTTCACGCAATTATCCGCGGCGGTCGCGAAAAAAGAGCTCGTCCCGATAGTGTTCCGCTTTCGCCGAAAAAATTAGGACGGTACCGTAATCGAGTAATCGTTGCGATATAGTAGAATCGAGATTAAACGTTCTAACGAGACGATCTATAACTTCGACGTTCTACGTCTTGTGTAATCTTTAAAGATTAGAAACTGGCACGATCGACGAGGATGAAATTCCAAAGAAGCGAATAGATATTTCGGAAGGAAGTTCGAAAGATCGAAATATTCGTTCGGAAGAATTATTTGGAAAGTACAGTCTACGAAAGGAAGACGATTGTAATCGAGCAAAAATAACTGTTTCACACGTGGAGTCGTTAGAGCACTGCGGCTACGACTCTACCGCTCGATTCGTTAACCATCGAGAAATCCGAAAGGCGTCGAATGAATCACAAGGGGAGATGATCAACAAGAAGAAACTGCTATGCAGCACGTGTCGGGCGGCTGTCGTCTGAAACGCGTCTATCCCTAACGAAACAACTACGCGAGCAAGTAATAACGAAACTGACAACTTCGTTCCTCTTTATCCTGTCACGTGGCATGCTTTTGATTTTCAACGACTATCCCTGGTCGGATGGTAAACGACGTTTTCACAATAGATTTCGTTAAGCGGATCGTGAAACGCGTTTTCGATTCTACTAGTAAACCGAGTCGATACCAGACACTCGAACGATACATGTATACATGGGTATATGTAATTGCTGGAATCGGAAAGGATAGTAATATCGAATCGCGTCGGGTCAGCGATCGCCGACTATAATCTTGACCTCTATCCCTTCTTAGCATTCCATCGTGCCTTCCTATTAATTTATCCGAAACGGACCGTAGGCAATCGTGGAACCGACTTTATCCGCGAAAACGGAAACGAAAGCGTTTCGTTACCGATTACGCGAACATCGGCGCGATACGAGTTACGATCTTCTAATATCCGTTGAAACGCGCATTCTTTTAAAAGATCGCCACCCGAAACGACTAAACCAGAAGCTCTCGTTAACTTTACCGTTTATCTTTTTTCTTTTTTTTTTTACGACGCTACCGAAATACTTTCGTGACGATGCGCAGTACGGTCCGAGCGTTATAACAAGAATTTCGCGTGTCTTAAATTTTCATCGCGACCATGCGCAACGAACTCCCGTCCGGCGTCGTTACGCAAGAAACTTCGAAATTACGCTTCTTCCCGCGGCCACGCGTTCGTTAAATTTACGATCAGTTCGTTAACCCAGCTAACCGAGCCGCTGGAGGCGGCCAAGCTCGCTGGTAATTTTGCAATTAGTTGCACCGTTCCTCCCTGCGTACCCGAACCCTTTCCAACCCCTTTTCAACCCCTTCTATCGGCACCCGTATCGCCCTCCGCTGCTCATGCTCTCGAAAAAGATTACGCGAATCGTTGATAATCGAGAAAAGAGCGTTTTAAGACCGCTGCCGACTACGATACGATTAATAAACGCTGATAACTCGTCGCGTTATTATATCCGAAGGATATCGTTCAACAAGTAAATAGCTCTTTATCCGTTAAACGAAATACGAAGTACGAGGCAAAAAACGATATCGAAGGAATTTCTGGATAATTTTAGATCGGCCAACGCGGATACCGTAAGGAACAAGAATCGGCCGAGAACCGGGGAGAAAGAGAGAAGGAGAAAAAACGTAAGAAAAGTAGGCGCGATATCAGGAAAACTAGTGGGTAGAACGAAAGATGGAAGGGGATCGAACATCGTACTCGACGTCGAACAGAAACTGGCAGGGTGGAAGTTATCGGAGTCGTGCCGGAAGAAGGAGAAAACGAAGACGGAAACCGTGGGGAGAGAGGATAGCCGACTGGACCAGAGCTCTGATAGCCTTCCTCTTCAGCAACGTCGGTATAGTGTGCCTGGTGGTTGGATATACTATAGCCGGTGCCTTCCTTTTCACCCACATCGAGAGTAGAAACAGCCTGGACATCACCGGGGACGTGATCAGGCTGAGAAACGTGACAGCTGCCACCCTCTGGGAGCTTACATCCAAGGTGACGAGTTCCTTCTTTTCCCATTCCCGTTCCTCCGTTTTCTTGTTCCGCCACCACTCTTCTGGACTTCGCCGCTGCCCGAGTGTCTGCGCTAAAAAACGGCCAGAAGGATGTTGCGGCTTGGCGCTTATCCTTCTTTTTGCGAAATCGTTCGTCCGAGCGTAATACGAGAGGAACGGCGCGTATCCGTCTTCTCGGCATCCTCGATCGATCTGCGAGGCCGTTGTTCCACGCGATCAAAACCTTTCACCGAAAGGAGACGGATCGAAATTATCAAATATTCCGAACGTTTATTTTTATTTCTTTCTCTGTGAACAGGAGAACGTGTTCTCCGAGAGAATCTGGAAGGCGAAAGTGCGAACGATCCTGGAGAGCTACCAGAAGAAACTGGTAACGGCTATAAAGAACGGTTACGACGGATCGGAGGAAAACAAAAGATGGAGCTTCGCCGGTGCTTTTCTCTACTCCCTCACGGTAATCACTACGATCGGTAAGCTCGTTTTCTTTTCGTCTCTCGTCCCTCTCCTTCCGGATGCATCGTTCGTCTTTCGCCTCTCGCACGAAGCGACGAGTTTACAAAAAATCGAAATATTTGTGAACCCTCTTCGAGTAACCTGCTCGCGAAAACACCTACAGATTCGAACGTTGCGACAGCTACGGTACTCGAGTAATCTATTAACGAACGTATTTAATCGGTCGAAAATTTTCACGTACACGCGCGTCTAGTTAAAGTTCATCGTTAAAGGAATAAGCTGACGACGATGAGCGTTAAACGCGTCCTTCGGAAACACGGTCAACGACGTTGAATCGGAAATTAATCGACTCGTGCGCGACCTCCAACGATCGTCGAACGAAGGTCGAGCTCTACCTGTACAATCGACTTTCTTCGATTCGACGATGCCCGCTTCTCCGTATTTAGGTTCGTTCCAACTATTTCGACACCGAAACGAACGATCTCGAGCAGAAAATATCGATGGAAAATCTCTCTCTGTACGAGAGACCACTTTTCCGAAGAAATTTCCAACGTAGGACGGAAAAAATCTTCGCACGTTCCTCTTCACCGAACTTCGAGTGTCGATTTTTAACGCGTCGAACAATATTTGTTCGCGCTCGTTCAATATCCGCGGACGTAAACGTATCTAAAGACAACGATCGGACGAAAGTTCGTAACGTAGATTCGACGCGGTCAGTACGTGTGTACTCGAGCGATCGTACAGAGCAGAATTTCTGCAACGAGGAGCAAACTCGAAGGTAAACAGGAGCAAAGTCTAGCGTGTTAACCAATCTGCCTCGTTATCGATTTCATCCTTTAAACTCGGCCAACAATTGCCAACGTATCTCTGCCGTTTTTCCTCCTATTCCAATTTCTTAACTCGATTTACGCGATTCGCCACGGTTAAGAATCGTTCCGCGCGGAAAAAGGATACGAAAAGTTGTCGAGGAAGACACTCTTTCGACGATAGACGATATCGAAAACGAATCGAGTTGTCGGATTAATTAATACTGAAACGGAACACGGTATCAATCGGAAGATCGATTAAGATCGCAGTCCTTTCGAGTAGGTTCGTTAATCTCGGGAGGTCGACCGATCGATCAATCGGCTCGACCGTTCATTAATTTCCGGCCTAACGAACACGAGGTTCCGCTCCGCGTACGTATCGTGTACGAAAATCATTTTCCAAGCAGACGGGACGACGATGATTCGATGAAATCGTCGTCAAATCGACTTCTCTCTTTCCACGTACACTCGCTTAGCGTTGCTAGGAAATTTCGAAACAGATATTCGAACGGTTTCACCGCGTGCGCCGTTTCCCGCGGAAAATAGCTCTCTCTCTCTTGTCGAGTAAAGCCACCACTTTTGTTTCCAACGGCGATTTCGATCGGTCCAATTGTTCACAATAGACTCGTGTACGCAACGATCGTTCGCGGAGCTTTTGTCGGCGCAAAATCTCTGTTACCCTGACAAATAATTCGTCTACCGGATTTTATAGCGACAGCTTCGACAAAGAAGGAGATTTGTTAAACGCTTTTGTAAGCACGCGACGATCGGAGGCCAGAGCTCGTTAGACCTCGTTACGTTTTCGAAAGTCTAGAGATCTTGGACATCCTGAGATGGTAACGCAAAATTTCCGGAGGGAAATTTTCCTGCCGGTTCGTCGTTTTCTCGACGGAAGTAATCGCGTGCTCGCCGGTCTACGACGTCCGTAACGACTCGATTCTTCTGATCGAGAAGTTCGGGAGCGAAGATAAGCACCGCGTACGATCTTCTGACCACAAATTATCGCGCGAGTGCGCGCGCGAATAAAAATTCTATTGTACTCTTTTTTCCGGATCGTGACGACGGCTCGATATTTCTTTTTTACACAAAGGCTCGCGGAACCAGCTTCGGCAAAGGGTTAGATAGAAGGGAATTAACGACGCGAACTTTTGGTACGTTAGTGGCGTGGTCGCGCGCGCGCACGCGACCTTTTAATTAATTCCGGGAGGGGAACAGGCACACTCTCTCTCTCTCTTCTCTCGTCCCTCGTCGCCCCCCTGACTCTTCGTCCTCTTCTGGTTCGAGACGAGACCCTGCCATCCACTTTATCTCGACCGTGATTACAGGCCAGCAGCATCAGCCTAAAAGGGTCGGCTAGTCGACAGCCAGATCGATTCTCGCGAACTAAACCTCCCTCCCTTCTCGGTCCGCTACGATAACCGCTTTCCAAACGCGTCCAAATTTTCGATCATTATCGTTCGATCGATGCCGCTACTATCGCCGGACCATTCGAAAATATCGCGATATCCTCGGAACGATACACCGACAAACAAAGCTCTCCTATTAAACAAATTGATTTAAAGAAGAATAGAGCGCGAGCACTTCCGGCCGCGTTAAATCGAAATTTAAAGTAGACTCATTTATTCGAGGTAGTAGATCAATATCGAGGAATTTAATCCGAACGTAATAACTTCCCACGGATGTTGGGTATCGATACGCGTACTATATCGGTATAGTTGCGTCGAAATTTTTCAAACGATTCTCCAGAATCGTCTTATCGCGAAGTCGATAAATTATAATAACGCGTTCGATTTTATCGCAGCTCGCGTCCTAGATATCGAACGCACTCGTTCGCGTGCACTGACGCATCTCCCGAATTTTCTGACGCACGAATAGTTAACGAAAACTCGCCTCGTTGGAGAAAAATCATTCGCGTTGTTTTATTAATTGCCGCAATTCGTGGTAACTGCAAATACCGGCTTGCCGAGTAATTTCTATCTGTCTAACCGAAACACGAACGGAACGAAACGTTCGATTCGCCAGGTTAGCTTATAATATTTATCGCTGTTATTCGTCGTGTCATAATTAACAGGGGAGTTAATAAATAACTATGCGTTGACACGACTGAACGGCTAAAAGGATGTAAAGTTTTTAACGGAATCGAGACAAGGCCTAACGAAACGTGGTCTTCCCTACATTCTGCGCAATCGGTTTACTCTGATTGCCCCATTCGATTGACAAAGATTTTTAACGAGCTACTCGCAAAAGCATCGAAATAATCTTTTTTCATCGAAAGTATGTACGGACAGAACTTATGCAGCGAGCTAATATTTAAAAATAACAAAGCGAAAAATGAAACCGTCTGCGACGCTTCGTTTATTTAGCGAACGGGAGTCCACGTTTTTAATGCATCGGTTGCTTTGTGCCTCGGCAAATTTCCAGCGAGCTCGAACCATCTCCCCGCCGTTCGAACCTATCCCCATTCCCCACAACCCCTTCGTCGTCGTCGTCGTCACCGGTGAAATTTATCCGAAAACGCGCACGACTTTACCCAGACACCCAAACTTTCTCCGCGATTCGTTACCGATCCCGTGAAAAAGCTTCGCACAATTTTATGAGATTCAACCCCTTCGCGGACATAGTTTCGAACAGACGATATCGAGTACATAATGTATACGGCATTAAATATTCATCGAATCGATGCTATCTCCTTCGAAAAATGAACAGGTTTTTTTCTTTTTTAACAGAAGCTAACGTTTTAAGGATTCTTCTAAATCATTTTACTGCAGGATTTACTTACGATTCAATTTATCGATTCGCAGGTTACGGAAATATTTGTCCAAAGACGAAATGGGGCAAGGTGGTAACCATAGTGTACGCCATAATAGGCTTACCGCTCTTTTTACTTTATCTGAGCAACATCGGTGACATCCTCGCGAAGAGTTTCAAATGGACGTATGCTCGTTGCTGTCTGTGCAAGTAAATCCTTCTTTACTCTGTTTCTTGTTGTCGCGATCGAAATAAAATAGCGCGCTACTTCCCGCAGTCTAATTCGCGCTGTTAAAGGTGTCGCAGAAGACCGCGCGAATTCGCGATCGGATCTCGACCCGTGGACGCCGACATCGGAAGAAATCGTTGCCAGGTAAATTTTCGATTCGACTCGTTTTCTCTTTACATAACTTCGCTAACAGCTATGATATATATGTACATATATACATATACGTATGGTATAATCGTAAATACATCGATGTTTATTGGCAGATGATTGACAGGAATGGTAGGGAGATCGATTCGTTCGACGCGGACAACATCTCGTTGGAAAACGAGAGGATGAAAGAGGCTGGTAGAAACGACGAGGACGACGACGACGACGACGACGACGACGACAGTAGTGATTATGATCCGCAACGTGTCACGGTGCCCCTAACCCTTTGCGTGGCAATAATGGTTGGGTAAGTGTCGATAACGTTGTATCAAATAATTCGTAACGACAGCGTCGAAAGGAGCACGATATTCGTTCTTTATTTATGCTAGTTATACTTCGTTATACTTGCCTGATTATCTACCGTCCCCATTCTATTTGTCGGACCAACCTATTGTCGCGACTGAACTCGGAGTCTGACCGTACATCGACCTATTCCACTTGCCCGACTATCTATCTCTCGAAATCCCAAATTGTATAATTCTAAAGGAACGTTACCGTTCCCGTAAACGATCTAATTCGTTTCGATACCGAGCAAAACTGTAACCGACTTCCAAATTCTTCTCGTTTTATTTATTTCGATATTCGAGTTTCACGGCGTTGCTTATGGTTCTGCTTCGAAATTACTTTTCCAGATACATCTGGGGCGGTGCAATTCTGTTCTCCGAATGGGAAGACTGGAACATGTTGGATGGTTCTTATTTCTGCTTCGTCTCCTTGTCGACCATAGGTTTCGGCGACATCGTACCAGGCGACAAAATCTATGCTGCTCAGGGTTTCGATTTATCCTTCATCTTCTGCTCCATGTACTTGATGCTCGGTGAGTCTCTATTTACCGAAATAAAATTTCCGCAAAAACGAAAGGCACGGTAACGTAACGCGTTAAGAAAATGAAAAGTTCCTACATCGAAAGGGAGAAAAGAAACGAGCAGGATCTTAACGGGGCAAATGCTCGTCGCGATTGTTTCTTTGGCGTGGCGACAATTGGATTCCTACGGATTTCCGGTGGAACAGGTTGTCGTCGTTGTCGTTCTCGCGTGAGCACGTTCTAAACGCTACTCAGCGTTTAACTTCGATTCGTAGGAACGCGTTAACGTTTCCGACATACCGATCCAACGAGATTCGTTAATCGATGAATTTTTCGAAAAGAAGCGTTCGAATTCGGTCGACGATTTGTCAAATTTTACGCCCGTCTCGTATCGTCGTGACGCTTAATGAACCGAGGGCTAAAGTGTCGCGAAGCGTGTCAAGGGTCAGAAGATCGATCGCTTTTCATCCCCCATCGCCCCTAACCTACCCGTTTTCTACCTAACGAAACTAAACTTTGACACCGTCGCGCGAATTCTTCTCGAAGCTGACACGAATCGAGTAGCTCGATTTCAGTCTTTTTTCTTTCCTTTTTTTTTTCTTTCGATTGCCGTTCAATAGCAAAAGTGGCTTTGAAGCGTCGTTTTTCGAGCGGCGAACGAGACTCCGATAACTGTTTCATCATTTAAAAGCATCGATTTAGATTATCGAGCCGACGTTACGACGCGATACAGCGACTAACGCTTTCGTTTACCAAAGCGAGATAAACGGATTTTCTTGCTTTGGTAAAACGTAGCGGAGAAGTTACGACAAGTAACTAGGTATAAGTTTAATTCACGCGGGGTTCGAGGAATTCGAGTTCGACGAATTGACAATAATAACAGAGATTATCGCGTTACAGGTATGGCGTTGATCGCGATGTGCTTCAACCTAATGCAAGAGGAGGTGATAGCGAAGGTACGCGCACTCGTGCGTACCATTAAATACATGTTTCGATGCGACAGGTGACCAAACTCCACCGTCGGCCATCTTCTACGTCTTCCAAGATGTTTCGTAAGTTTCTAAGACCGGAATAAGACACCGATACAATAAATAATTAATAGCGAGAAACAGGATATGATTCGAGAGGGAAATTGTAAAACGATTCGAAGCGAAAGACGATCACGAACGCGTGGCGAGTCGGGTGGCGCGTGAAAATTATCATTCTATCGGCTAGTGGGTTGACAGAGACGTCTGTTGCACGAACAGGGGATGGAACGGATTGTTTTTTCTTCGTGGCTCGCGTTCGTCCACGGGAAAAATCTGAAAGGGTGGAAAGCTTGAAAAGGGAGGAAAATAAAGGGAACACAGTCGTCGAAGGTACAAAGAACTCATCTTTGCAATCCCAGCGCCTGGCTTTGCCGAAAAAAAAAAACATCCGAACGGGGGAGAAAAGAGGGTAAAAATGCGTGCTTCTTATGAAATATATTTCCGCAGAAATTTGTCCAGTTATACGACCAACGTTTTCGACCGATAAAAAACCACCATTCTTACCTAACGTCTCTTTCTTACCCGACTTTCTTTCTTTATTTCTTTAATTTAATTAGACAAATGTCTAGTTAATTTCATTAATTCGAGAGATTAGAAAGTTTAGAAACGATTAGCGATAAAATTAGAAAGCAATTAGAAGAGACGTAACGATTCTATTTGACGATTATGTCAACCTAAGATCGTTCGAATCATCGAAATCGATCAGTCCCGTTTCGACAGCTTCGACGTCACCGTGTTCCAATCTCCACCGAGACAGGTTTTCTCGAAACGGATCCCCAGGAGGCGACTCCGGGATAGCGAGCGAATCGATGAAGAAGCAGACGAAGCCGTAAAGACGCGTTTCCGAGCGTTCGTTTCTCGAAGAAGACTCGAAGAAGAGGAAAAGACGCGCGACAGTTAACCTAACGGCGAGGGCTCGGGATGCGCGCGTTGGTGTCGACTCGGTGGCGAGAGCAAAGCGCTAGGGGAAGTTGTAACGGGGCTGCGGCGCGGCTTCATGCGGTGATCGGACCGCACGAGGCGGTGCATGCGCCCGGAATCGCTCTCGCGAACGCGCGTGCGTCCTCTGCGCCCTTCTACGGGGTGCGTCCGTGCCGGCGACGCTATTCATGGACGGCGACAGTTCTCACGACACTCGACGAACGTCGTTCCTCGTTCGGTACACGCGAAAGCTTTCCTCGAATCCCTCGATATCGCGAATCCGAACGATTCGAATGCCCTGATCGCGCGTCCCATGTCCGCTCGAGATCCGCGTCCCTATACCGTCGAGCACACGATCCCGGTCAACGGATGCTGCGAGCGGATGCAGCGCGAAGCGTGGCTGCGAGTGCTCGATCCGTCTGCTGCCTCGGATGGCTCCGATAAACGCGTCGTCTCGGAACACGACGAACGAACGGGATGCACGACGTTTCGCGAACGTCTCCCGACCAGAGAGCTATGCCACTGACCGGCCAAACTAACTCGACGAGGACCGAGAACGAACGGAGGAATCGTTGATCAGTGTCCGAACAAGTGCCCGTTTCGAACACCGAATCCCGAGTGTTCCTCGCGAGGTGTTCTCTCGCGTTTCACCGCGTTCGATGCCGAGATTGCCCGGTTACGGACAGTAGAGTTGCCGGGTCCGTTGCGAGGATTCCAACGAGCCGAACAACAACCGAGAAAAGTTTGGCGAGTCGATATGCCTCGCGAAACGACCGTGAGAAGTTGAGTTCTCCCACGATACGGACCGAACGACGATCCCTGCTAAGGTAAGTACCAAGTTACGGGGCGAGTTTCGAAAAAAACTTTTTCGAATGTTTCCGAATCGATGCACCACCGCCACCGCTACCACCACCGCCACCACCACCACCACTATCACCGACACCACCACCATCATCGCCAATCGCTACCACCATTATGAACCGTACACGCGAAACACGATTTTTATCGCGTTGCTGCCTGCCGCAGTTCCGGAGACACTGTTTTCTTTCCATGAACAGTTACCATTATGATTGGTTAAGCGACTCGATTGGATATATGGTCACGGGATAACGAACAGATTTCTACCAAATTTGTAGAGGCTTCGACGACGATTTCTAGTACTCGAATACGATCTTTTCCCCCGATCGTTGTCGCGCGAAAATTTACTATAAATAGCAAAGATACAAGAAGCGTGTGTGTCAACTGTCATGACGGTGACCGGTGACCGACGTTACAATTCGATTAAACCACGTATCCGAAGAAAGAACGAATACTCTTCGATATAGAAGAGCGAGGGTGATCCTATCGAACGCATTTCCGAGAAGGCACGTACGAAAATGTCTGCGATTTACAGTCGACGTATTTTTACACGCTAACAACCAGTGCAAATAATACGGTTGACGCGTATCTCGTTAATTGACCGGGAAACTTTCTCCGCTAACAGAAAAACATGGAGCCGATACAAGGTATTTGGCATGCAACGTACAACACCGTATAATACATGTACTTTGTTACGTACATAAAAACGTAAAAGTTCAAAATATATTTACCAATTACGATTACGTTAAAAATATTTATGCAAAAATATGTAAAGGAAGAGAAATGAAAATTCAGGCAGAATACAACGTACACCGCGTAACTTTGTTATACATATTCGATCGCGTATGCGACTACGTGCACGTACGTAAGCACAAATAGTCGTAATCTAATTAAAAGCAGCTTTAACTTGAAATATCCAATTTCATTCCGTCTGATAAAGTTGGTTAACGTTTCAGTCAAGTTTCCATCGAAATACCTCGTCCCCCATAGGCGCACCGTATTTTCGGTGCAGAAACGAGAAACGTTTCGCGTTTCATGGAATATCCAGTCGAGAGCTCGATTCGAGTAGATCGACGTTTAACTTTTCACGCTGCCGGGTAGAGGCGAAGTAATTTCGCCCGGTTGTCCCGTTCGTTCTGTTAACAGCTTTCGATAAATGTCCCGTCTTTGTTGGCTCGTCCGGTTCGTTTTACGTTCGCCGATTCGTCAGCGAAACTCGTTTTTATCGGCAAGTGACTTTTACCGTCGAAAACCGATTCCTTTCACTCCGATCTTAACGCTTTTTGTACGTAGCATCGGTGGGTACGCGCTGTATACCGATGACGAACACCGATCGGGTCAAACAGACGACACCGTATGCATCGGTGTGGCCAGGATGCGGCTAGAAAGCAGATTTCTAACTGAGATTTCGAATCGTTCAATTTGGACGTTTGAAAAATCGAGAAATCGTTCGATGCTCGCGAATACGCGCCGCTGCGAATCCGTTCACCGCAATCCTCTCGAGCGCGATTGCTCGTTGCTGCTCTACACGATCCGTAGTTAGTATTTTTTTTCTTTATCGAGCGTTGATTAAACGTTAACGCCAATCTATCGTTCCAGGCTTCACCGATCATCGTCGACGCCTCGAATAACCTTACTTATACGTATACTGTATAATAACTTTTCTCCCAAGTACTTAGTACTTTATAGAAAAAATAATGCGTAGCTATGGCCGCATAAAACACGACTTTGCATCCCGAGATCGTATATCGGCAACTTAATTCTTTGCCGAGACTTTCGAGCCGTCTCGTCATCGAAAACCATGGAAGTTACGAGAGGATACCGAAAGTTTCGACGGAGATAGACGGAAATAGCGAAGAGCAAAGTTTCAAAAATTCATTCGGCTACTTCGATTACGTATTAAAATGTCTTACAGGCAAGCGGTATATTTGAAAATAAAAAAAGGGAGAACTTTTACTAATACTCGTAACTGCTCGCTTACTAACTCCATTATCTCTATTCATTATCGAATATTTACTAACGCGTTACCGACGCGATGCGTAATTGTTCGACGGAGAAACATGTAGGTCATCGCATTTACGCTCGACTCTGTATCTTGCGATCGTGGAACGAAAAAGTGACTTGAACGCTTTCTAGTAACAATTAATTCGATCGTTTGTTACTCGACCAACGAGACACGCGTTTGTCGATTCGTCAGTGAAAATTCGCTTTTTTTAGTCGTCGTAAAAGCGCAGGCGTCACTCGCGTATAGATAATTCATAATGACGATGCTGGCCTATAGTTGTTCCGGCACACGGAAACCCCCCCGTTCTCAGCTTTTTTCCACCGACCCTTTTCTGTCTTCCTTTTTTATTTCCTTGTCTACTCCGACCAAGCTTTCTCTACATTCGGTCTTTTTTTTTTATTCACGAAGACGGAACTTGCAGCCTGCGGCGAGGATCTTTTAACGTAATTGGTACCCGTACACGCGTTCCACTTTAAGCGAGAAACGATAAGCGATATCGTTGTTTCTTCCTTTCCTCCGAATTAAGTATTTTCCGCTATGTTCGTCGGACGAAAAAGAACTTAACGATCGACCAATTAATCCGGCAAATAGCAATTTTTCTATAAAACGTCTATTCCCACTAACTTTCGTCTCGAACAATTTGCGAAGCAACGCACGCGTGAGAAATCGTGCGCAAGGGAAGCAGAGTTCGAAACGCGTCCGTCGATAGATCGATCTCTTTCACTCGCGTCGCTCTATCTTTCTTTCTCCCGCTTATCGTTTCGTGACCTCGTATCGGACACGGTCCACTAGTTTTCCTACGTTTCAACATTTACGATTACGATTCTTGTTCGCCGATTCGCGGTGTCGTCGAAAACGTTGTTCGCCGTAACTTTCGAGCTCGAGTACATAAACGCCGCTAATAAAGGTCTCGAAGGACCAAGAAACGGAAAGGATACCACCGACCTAACTTTAATCCCTCTTCTTCCGGCTGGACGAAAGAGAAGCGGTAGAAGAAGAGGAGAAAAGGGAAGCCCATTTACCAAGCGACCCTTAGGATTACAAGCTCTCGAAAACATCCGGCTAGGGCTGTTATTTAGCTCGTACGAAGGATGAAAGAGAAAAAAAAAAATGTTAGCCCCGAGAAGCAGCAGTTGACTCGCTCCGTGGATTATTCGGAACGGAATTCGCGGATCGAACGAGTCCGCGCGAAACGAGATAGAACGCTAATGGAGTTACGTAAATAAATAAAACGAACGAT